AACTTCATAATAAAAAACATTCTCCTTTCTATCTAGTCTAAACCTACTCTCTTTCAATTTAAAGGCATTTCCTCTTGTCCTATCATTCCATGGCCTTGTAAATGTCCCTCTTCACCTTTCTTGTAAGCTCCTTTCAGATACTGGCTGTCTGCTCTAAGGTCTCCCCAAAGCCTTCTTCTCTCCAGGTTGAACAACCCAACTGAATCAGTCTGTCTTCCTAGGAGAGGTGCTCCAGACCTGTGATCATGCATGTAGCCTCCTCCAGACCCCCTCCAACAGAGCCTTGTCTTTGCTGTACAGAGGACTCCAGAGCTGGATGCAGTCCTCCAGGTGGAGTCCCAAAGTTATTCAAAATAGCAGAGTTTATTATAACAATGTCATTTCAAAATAACAGAGATGGCTGCTCTTCTGCCACTTTAGTCCACACATATAACCAAACAAATCACAAAGACTTAAGGAATAGTAGTAATCTCATTCCTCGTTTACCACTCCATGGTTTTCAGTGAAAAAAGGTTATGCCACCAAGATTCACTTGTCCTTCCCCAAGACGTAAGCTTTACTATCATATCTGTACTATAAAATATAGTAATTAAGAGAATTAGATAGATATCTATGGATAACCATATGGGAATACTAAACATTTTACAAGAACAGGTAGCCATGCATGTAGAAAGCACATTGGTCTGCCTGATAAAATTGTGTGGTGTTTCTCCCCTCTTCCATCAGTCCCTACCACCAGTTTCAACAATGACTCTTACTATGATTCCTTTTCTTTTTATCTTTCATCATCTATCCACTAAAGAAGTCTTAATTCACATGCATTTACCTTCTCTTCTATTGAGAGGCTGCTGAGAACTTCTCAAGAAAGTCTTCATACTTCCTCTACTTCTCCTAAATTTTTTCAATTCCATTTAAAAATTGAAGTTTGAGTTAAAGGTCACATTTGGCATAGCCATGGAACAGGATTAGGTGATACTGTTGCATCTCTTGGTTGCAGATTAGACTTGCTAAACCAGAACATCCTCTCCTCTCTGAAGCTGTAATTCAATCTTTACCTTTACACCTTGTCCTAAATTGTCTCTTCCACACTTAACAAAGAGAAGCTCTAATTATTGTTTATGATACTCTTCTGCTACACTTCTTATAGTATGTGTTTCTTCTAAAACATATCCTATTCAGCCCTTCTCTTCATGACACCCACATCTTTCTATTTTTTTGTTCATTCTCTCTTTTGGTTCATCCTCAAACATACTCTTTTTTGTCTAGTCCTATCATTTAATTCAAAAAACCCCAGTAAAACATCTTCTTAATTTCTGTGTTTTACTTCCTTCTGGATTCTTCCTAATTAGCTCTTTAATCTCCTGAAGTTATCAATATCACAAATGTATTATGGAATTTCTGGATCCACCATCTCTCCTGCTAGGGTCACATTTTCCTTAGATGACATTCCCCAACTCAACTTCTTCCACCATTACTTTTCATCTTTGAAAATAGATGAACATACCATGCTTCTGAAAATAATTTTAAATTCTACTTTCAAACTGAAACCCTCACCTGTTTTCAGCTTCAGAACTCCAATTCCCTGTGGAGGAACAATCACTCAGAAAAAATCAGCATGGTAAAAATTGAATATAGTAAATTTTATTAATCCAGTTTTAAATTAAAAAATATCTGCAGTCAATCCCACTGTTCCTGACTTATAATAAAATCCAATAAATTAGAGCCTAATATCTAAAAAGCTGCTAAATTCTATCAGTTCTCATGTCAATGTTTCCAGAATACAGTGTTTTCCCCTAAAACGTGGCATGCATCTTTCTATATATTAATCATATTTCCCATGAGGACTATTGTAGTGCTTCTTGCTCTATCCACTATACTTCTTGCCTTGCTACTCTTGTGTTCATTCAAAAAAGTGTGTGTTTTCTCTTCTCTGCCTCTTAAAACTCAGAGCTGCTGCTTTTCATTCACATTTCCATCTGAAAAAATTGATTTGGTTTTCCTCTCCATCTACTTCCTGACTTTTATGCTTAACTCTGCATTATGCTTCCTATCTGTTTACTCCTGAAATCACATTTTCTAACTGTTATCTTGGTGCTTTCTTTTAATCTGCCCTTTGTAAAATACAGGAAATTTTCTCACAAAAATGTAAAAATATTCAGGCACATATGACAATATATTGCAAACCAGATAAAAACATCCTGATTATGGCAGTACAAGTAGCCAATCTTCTCACTAATATCCAGAGAATCTAAATGTACTATGCTTTTTTTTTTTAATCAATTCATTTGCAGGAAGAAATCTTACAAAGAAGACTCATGCCCAGCTTTCAGCTACTTAATATGAAAGCAAATCCTAATATATAAATAAAGTATAAATTCTGAACTCTAAATTCTGTAATATCATGACAGGTTTGAAAAACAGACATATAAAATTGGTCATATTTGCAATCTCCTTTTTCTGTAATCGTGTCTGTATGCCAAACAGCAAAGTACAGCATTTCCCACTGATACTTGGTAATTAAGGAGTACTTTCACTGATGCCAAGATCTGACTCTGGGTCACAATTACAGCCCATTTTGCTAACCTGTTAAACCAAGCAATCCCACTTTGAATTACAGCCCCTAAAAATCAACTAACCTTTCAATATTGAAGTTGGAATGAGACAATACAAAAATCCCATGAGTTTGAGCTGAAATTAGTTGCTGGATTTAAACAGCTGGAGGGGGGAAGGGAGACATGTCTGAAGGAAGCATATTGAGAGCAGCAGGACTCCCTTCAGGAGAGAAAGAGAGAACAGTTAGTAAAAGGAATCAGGATAAATAATGTGAGAAGAACAGTCTGTAAAATGAAAAAGGGATAAAAAGAGAGGGCAGTAATAAGTCTTACTAGAAAGTGGAACAGAAAACACAGAAGAGAACAAAGGAGTGGAACTGGTGGTGCTCCAAGATTTTAAGTAGAGTCTTATCTCTAAAGCTGTAATTGTTGCCTCTGATTAAAGTGTAAAACACTGAGAAAGACATGTTATTACAGAATAAACTAACATGGAGATTTGGGAGTTTCGTATAAGGCTGGGATAAAGAGTCACTCAGACTAGGTACAGCAAGTTCCTCAAGTGATCTGAGCCCAGCTCTGCTGACAAGGGGACATTCCCCAAAACCTGCAGTCGCACAGGACACAACAGTAACTCAAGATGCAAAGGATATTGGGGCTTTAGTCAGCATTACGTTTATGCATATGTCATGGACTGCATCTACCAATATTAATGTAATTTCAAATTTCTACTGCAGTGTCATTCAGCTTCTCAGACCAGACAGGTATCAAGCACTGATCCAAGCCCTAAATCAAGGACAGCTTCAGCCTCTAAATACATGACACCTGTTTGGAAGTACGTACAAGAAAAAAGAATATATTTTCAAAAATGCAGATACAGGCACTAGTTCTTTGGAAGGTGCAAACATTCTGATACAGCATGAGGCTACGAACCAAAATATGCACAGCCACTACATGCTAAGATTATCTAGGACTTAGTATTGGTAATTGCACTCTTGCATAATAAAATTCTTAGTGCTGTTTCAGCTTGATATAACAAGCTTTTACATTATTTGCTAAGCTAAAGAGGTGAAAATTTACACACTTTTGCAGTACACATGTCCTGCCACTCATTGGTTATGGGTTACTATGGCTAATAAGATTTGACCCCAAGGAAAGAAATTTTAGAACTAGGATATTTTCATACTGGATAAGAGATAACTCTGTAAGAAAAGCTTATGCATTACCTACATGCTAGGTGTAAAACAAAACCCAATTTAAGTAATTCCTCTATTTGCTCAGCAGTGTCACTGAAGTGCTATTATAACGATGCAAAAAAAATTAAGTAAAATTTCCATGTGCCATTATGTGAGACATTATATAACATTATAATTTATTACTTTTTTCTGTAATGTTGCTGAATACCTAGAAAATATATAATATTAGTATTTCACATGTGCTTCATAGAACTAATTCTCAAAACAGAAGTCCTAGGACCAAATCCTAACAAAATGGCTATGAAATGTTCTCATCCACGTTTTTCTCCACACAGAAAAAAAGTCAGAACAGATTTGTGAAAGTTGGGAAAATTTTGTAGTCACTGAGGTCAGAAGACAATGCCAGCCAACAAACTGTGGAAAGGATATAGATTTATTGTGGGAACTACTGGACATAGCAAGTTGCATTTCTGCAAGACACCTTATTATCACCCTATTTATTTAGTGTCCTTCCTCAGATACTTCTACAACAACTTATTTATAGAGAATGCTCCCTCACTATGAAATGTGCACTGCAAGATAGAATATAAATTTATAACTTGTACAATAAGATATTGTAGTTAGAGATTCTAATAAATGCTGGTCATCTCACTATCATATCCTTAGTGACACAGATGAATTATTGCATAATTTCCTCTGAAGATAACAGGAGGGCTTGATGATTACTTCAACACTGGATTTGATTGAATGGCTTGTTGCATTTTCTTGTAGAACACTATCATCATCTGGTGGTATATTTTGCTACTATGTAAACTGCATGCTATGAAGATGAAAGCATTTCATTTACTTAGCATTAAACATTTAGAAGAAGACATAGATTTACCACCTTGCAGTTATGTCAAACTATGTGGGGGTGGAAAATGCAGTAACATGAAATTAACTTGACAGAACTGCTGAGGATTTTGAGAACAAACAAATGCCGGCATTTTACATGAATGAAATTTGAATACTTCTCTGTCCAGAGTAAAAGACAGACTAAATAAAACAATAGAGGTCAAGGCTGCCTCATATCCTTATTCATACTATCTACAAAGTATAAGGGATATCAGTTTTTAAGAAAATCCCACAGGTTTTTCAAACTGAAATATTTTTCACGTAGTTTTTCTCATAACTGGAGGTGGAAATCTCACATGCAAAAGTCAACTATTCATTATGATATTCAACCAGAATCTACATAAATCAGTTGTTGACTTACGTGGTAACTTTTCAGTCTAACAAAATCGACTTTCATGGAGATGAACCTTTCTGAATTTCTGCTAAGATTTTTAATGTGCTCCACAAGATCAGCACAGAACTTGTAGCCACCTTTGAGGACACAGAGAACCACAATATCATTGTCTCCGATGTCTTGCATAATATCTTTCGCCAGTCGTTCTGTCCTGGGCAAAAAAAAAATTAGAGATAAAATAGCTTTAGATGCAGATGCTCTAAGTTCATGGTATGCTTTACAATCACCATGGTGAGTATAAAGCTTGACTGGCATTGCTTAAGTAGCCTGACTTCACAGAATCAGAGAGTGATTCTTGGAAAAAACCTTCAAGATCATCAAGCCCAGCCCTTTGACTGGTGCCCACAGTGTCAGCTAGACCACAACAGTAAGTGCCATGTCCAGTCATTTCTTAAACACCTCCAGGAATGGTGACTCTACCACCTTCCAGGACAGTCCATTCCAATGCTTGACTGGGTTTGGATCCAGCTCACAGATGGCAGATACAGAGTGATGGATGCAAGCTGCAAAGCACCTGAATCTACTTAGCCTTAAATGCATAAATTCCCCAGCTACAAACAGGACCTACACATCTCAGCATATTTTGGGCTCATAAATATGTCAGAGACTCGAGAGAAAAGAATGTGAACTAGCCTTCCATTTTACCTCACTGGAATTATCAGCATAAAATATACCTGTACAAACCCCTAACTTGTTATATTAGTTACTGCACAAGAACGACAAATTAAGTGAAAGATAGGGAAGAATATTTGAAACTTTCAGCTGAATGGCTTTGGAAGATGCTACCCCTACAGTTTTAAGAAAAATCTATATAAGAACTAGAAAGAAACAGAACATCAGTGAAAGGCTTATAGTGTGTATATCATCACTATTCTGTACAGCTCACTGTTTTATACAGCAGAAATGAAGAGTGCAAAGAGCTTCAGTGACTTGTTCAAGGTCAGACACAGGCAAATAATCAAGCCCAGAATTGTGGGGTTCCCAACCAAACGTATCCTCTCTGACAGTTCTGCATGGCAAACACAATATGGCAGATGATTGGAAAGAAAAGATACATATTTCTGCCATGCAGTGCTACATACATTTTCAAGACAAAAATAATAAATATTAATCTTAATAACAAATGTAAATAATAAATATTAACTTTAAAGATAGCATTTCTAGACCCCCAACAGGGTACTGGGTCATTTCTAGATGTAATGAAATATCAACAGAAAACTTAACGTCGTTTGATGTTTTGAGGAAAAACAGCTCATTATATTCTGTAAATACTTCCACTAGAAAATTATTTGATAGCTCTCTGAATTAGATTAATAGTTTCAATGAGAGTGGACTTGTTGACAGAATGCAATTTTTTAATTATCCTGTAATTTATCCCATGTATTTTGTTATTAAATTTTTTAGGTTTGGTAGGTTTTTTTCTTTCTCTACGAACTGTAATACAGAAATCAATTTGCCCCTACATAAGTACATTGATTAAACTTCAATGAAATCTGTTCATGGAGCAGAAAAGAATAAGCTCTAGACTGAAGAAAATATACTAAGTATGAGAAACAGCTGTTGCTTAATTTCCACATCTTTTATTTTTAATGCTGTAGTAAATTCCATATAGCAATAATTAGTGTATTTTTATATGAGAAATAGAAGATATTAGAAATATTAGATCATCTTAATTGATCTGAAATATATAATTCCTTTTAGTGTTGTAAGAATTAGAATAACTTACTTTACTGAAGATTAATAAAATAGTCTTTTATAATCTTTCATCAAGTCTGAGAATGGGGAAAAACTCTCACTAAGAAACATTTATTTGATTAATTTTCATTTTTTATATTGTTCCTCAAATTGTTTGCAGCTGAAATTTCCAGGAATTCCAAAGACCACTTTGTATGTTAAAAGTGTAGGAACTCCAGGACAGACAAATATGTACTAATTTACATTTCTAAAGAAAAATATCCAAGTTTTTAACTTAAAATATTTTAGGACAAAGATCATACATGCACTGTATATGGATGACAGCCTTTATAAAAAAGAATAGTACTGCTGACCAAACAATTTATTTAGTAACATTCAATGTACACATACCTGTCAACAATAATGCCATGAGGAATGAGCACATATTCCAGGTCACCATAGTAGTGCTGAGGGTAAGTGAACAAATCCAGACTGTATCCAGGCCAATTGTCTGAAATCTGAATATCAAACAGTACTGTGAAGAACAATTCATTGTGTGTGACATTATGTAACTGATACAGAATCAGCATTCTAGTACACTCTAGATGTTGGATGGATTCATTGTGTGCCATACCTTCTTCCAGTTACAATTTACTAATTTGCTTTTCCCATTAATTATTTTGCTTCTCAGCATAACTCAGAAATCAACTGCTAGAGTTTTTTACCCACAGAATATGGGAAATGTCACCTGAAATTACAAACAACTAGACAGACAAAGGAAACATTTAATACTAAACTAGTGGCAAAAGTAAGTTTCTAAGTATTTTCAAACTCAAAGTACAGATATAATATTGCCAGTAAGAAGGGATTTTCCAATGGGAGATTCAGATGGTGGAACTAAAAGTCATAAAATTCTATATAAAGATTGTACATTTCTTGTTTAGAATAACTTAAATTCATAAATAAATAAATAAATAAGTATTTTACAGATGAAACAGCACATATGGAGAATAATTTACGTGGTTCATGGATGATATCTGTACAAATCAGTGAAAAACTGTACTTCTTGCCAAAGGTGAGGTTCTTTAGATGTCATCAATGATAAGTGGCTACAAAATGTTTGCATCTCACTTCACTATGAAACTAGTTTGCAAATCCATATATTTACAGAAAAAATATTTTACAGACAATATACATTGGTTTTGTAAGTATCAGAATACAGAGATTAGATCTCACAACATACAATGGTGGTAGAGATCAAGAAAGTCAAAAATTAGCCAATGGCTGAAGGCTTCACAAAGCTATGAATCAGAAAGCCACCAGCACAAAAACTAAACAAACTCCAAAACAAACATTTTCCCTATTCCTTATGAAAGACAAGACCTGCAGGTTCACAAGGTACCTTGAAATCATTACAAAGCTTTGCTTCAATACTGCTTCAGGATAAAAAGCAACACCTAATAGGTTTTCCTTACAAACATATTCCTCAAGTCACACATTGTCTTTCTACAGCTTGGCTACAGGAATCCTGAGTACAAGCAGAAATGGTGGCAACCTTGCCATCGTGCAGTGCATGTCTTAATGGCATTTTTGCTACAGATAGTCTTTAAAGTCTTCATCACTGAAACCTCTGCTTACCATTTTATTGTACAGCAATAAATGGTTTCTCACAGTTTTGGCTAAGATAACATATTTGTTGTTGAGCTGTTCCTCCACATCCCCTCTTCTTTAAGTCAGACACGGCCCTGCCTCATGCTGTACTGAGACACTGTCCCGCCTTGTGGATTTTGGGTTGCTTGGGGGCTTTTTTAACATATTCATTGACAGCTACAGGCACCTTGACTGGCGTGTTTTCTTAACTCTACCCAAAATTTTCTGCATCAAAAAAGTTACTTGTTGGCTACTGAATATTTGTCCATGAAGGGCATGCTGGGGAGATCACTGGAATCAATGAAAGCTTTTCCCCTGACTTACACAAGCCTTGAAACTTCACAAAAGAAGAAAAAGTTACTTAGTTGTGTTCCTCATTTCCATAGAAACAGGAGATTATAAATATCCTCCTTGGCGAGGTTTTTAATTAGAGCAAATCTTGCCCCAGAAACACTGCTGCAGCCGGCCTGGAAAGACTATTTTCCCATCTACTTTTTCAGTGCATGGGGGGGATGAAACTTTTTAAACATTTTGTAGCAATGAACGGCCTGTTCAAAAGCATTTTAATGCAAACTGAAACAATTTCATTAAGTGTTACAAGCACCCACTAGCAACCCCTGTCAGTGCTACTTAATTCTGCATTCTTGTCAAATTGCATGGCTTCAGTGTGATGCAGATGAAATTAAATGGATAGAAGCTGCTTTAGAATTCACACAAACCAATAACTCTTACTTAGGTTACAGTAAGTCCTTTATAAAACAGGATCAGGATGAAATTTTGATTCTCCCATTTATCAGTCTGGTTTTCTAGAATAGCAGAACATAAACAGTATAACTCTACAATAATATTGAAGTTCTTGTTTACAAGTGCTTGCTGGCATTTGACAAATAAGATGAAATTCACATGTACTTTCAAATTAATTATTTGTCTGATACAATAAGCATATTTCATATTCTTCTTTCTTTTAAACAGGCACTTCCCAACAAGTCTAAGAAATTCTCATTTATCCTAAAGCTACTCACAGTGTTCTGCTATAAGACAATTTTCAAGTAAATTCGTATGACTATTCTGTTTGAGCATTTTAAAAGCCCTTGAAAAGATGAAGGAAAAAATTCTGATTGTTTCAGAAAAAAATCCAGCATTCAACTGGATAAGTAAATATATATTCTAAATACATTGGCATACTTGTGTGTTAAAAATTCCGGCAGTGAAAGAAAGAGCTACTTTTAAAGTTCAGGCTTTGCATGTTTGAATAGCCCAGCAGATATTCTTCAGTAAAGCTTTAAATAGTCGATGTGAATGGATACAAAAAGGAATACAAATACATGGCAATATCCAAAAGTGTTCCCCTGAGGCCTAAGAGACAAGCTGAAGCCATTGGATTGCAACACCTTTAGAAGAATTTGCTTGTTTTCTCCTCTGGCAAAGAGAGCACAGGTGAGGTTTGAGCTCAGTTCAAGCAGCATGAAGCAAAGTCCAGCTTTTGCAACTTAAATGATGCTGCACTGGACTTACTGCTGGTTGGGTTTTTGGGGAGTTGAGCAGAAAAAATTAAACTAGTGCAGCAGAACATTGTCACGCACATTCATGTCCTTCTTTGCAATAAACTCATGTTGCTTGGTGATATACACAGTCACCCACTTAAGGAATGTCATTTATTACACAGGTGTCAGGAGACACGGCTGATGTGGTGTTTTCAGACAGAGCTCGAACACACAGAGACAGGTTCTTCAGAAGGGAGATGCAGGGGATGTTGGAGTGGACAGTGTAACCACTGCCCACACAGAGCCCTGGGCCACGATCTGACCTGCGAACTTTCTGTTAAAATCCTAATGCCACATTAAAAATAAGAACATACCTAAGGTGGTGGCAGTGATGGCATTTGCTTCACAGGAGAATCGGGGTGTCTATCAGAATAAGGATCACATTCGTTCATTTTTGCACCATTTATCCATCCCTACAGGCACTGCAAACGCACTGCCAAGGTTCGGGCTGTTTCCCACCCCAGCAGAACACGGGCATCCCGACGCTCTTTCACGGCGCCCGCAGACTCCCAGGAGCCTCCCAGAGCTCCGGTGGGAGAAAGACCTCGGGATGCCTGAGGATCCTCATCCCCGGTACTCAAGGAGCGTGGGGAGCACAGCCACGGCCACAGGAGCCGCTCGGGGTGGTACCGGACCGTGTTTTCACGGCGGAAGCCAAAGGCGCGGCTCAGCCCAACACGCCCGTCCCCCTCCGGCAGCCGCAGCGGGGCCGGGGCCGGCGGGCGCGGCGGGACCGGCGCGGGGTGAGGGGACGCCCGGGGGGCCCGGAGGAAGCGGGGGAAGGGAAGGGAAGGGAAGGGAAGGGCGCGGGGGGTCAGCACAAAGCGCCGGGGGGCATCGGGGAAGGGAGCCGGGGACCGCGGAGGCACCGCGGCCGACGAGGGGCGAGCGGCCGTGCCGGGCCGTGCCGCGCTCCGCATTTACCACAACGCCGCGGCCTCCAGCGCTGCTCCCGCCCTGCCCGGCCATGTTCCTGCGCGCGCCCGCCGAGGGGCTGTGGAGTGCAGGGTGCGGGATGTGCAGTGCGGAAAGCAGGATGGGCGGTGCGGGATGCAGGGTGCGGGATGCAGGGTGCGGAAAGCAGGATGGACAGTGCGGGATGCAGGATGAGCGGTGCGGGATGCAGGGTGCGTGGTGCAGCGTGCAGGATGGAAGCTGTGCGGGTGTAGGTAGGGTCGGAATGGTGGAAAGGCTTGGGCAGGGCTGGCCAAGGGGCCTGGCCTGGGTTAATGGTAATATTAAGCTGGTGTGGTTTAAACTGCTGTTTTAACTGGATTTTCTTATACTCCAGGGAAGAAAAAAATGAAATTTCCAACATTTCAGTAATCATACTTTCCATCCTCGCTGTCTTCTGGAGTTAGTGCTCCTTCCCACCGCCGTGCACATGCTGGGGCAGGCTGTGCCTTCCTGCTGCCCCCAGCCCATGCCCACGTTGCCTATGCTCTCTGTGCAGCTGGAGATGAACAGACCAGGTACCAGGAACAGTGCAGCTCTCTGTCACTCCCTTCCAATTCTGTTAAAATGATTATTAATATTTTACTTTCACTGCCTCACAGATGAGAAGGAGCTTGTTTTTTTTCTTGGCTTACTCTGATCATTTGCGTTCCCATATAAGAAGTTCAGATTTGGACTTGCTCCATCCTTTTTGTATTCTGTCTTTTGTGGAAAATGGTAGCAGCCTCTCTGCCCACTGTGGATAAAAATACAGCTTTTTACTTTCTTCAAACTGAAAGCTGGTTATAATTTCTAGTATCAATCTTTAAATACACAGCTGGTAGAATTCTGCCATTCATATACTAGAAAATATTAAAGGAAGAAAAAATTATTTTTAGGGGAGACCTAGGCATAGTGAAATATTCTTAGTGATACCTGAGGGGCTCTCACCAACCAAGTAGGAAACATTTCAGGTTGGAACACTGGTATTCTAGAATGTGGTCATTGACTCTTCTGGTCACAAGAGATGGATCCAGGGAGCAGTTATGGGTATGTCTACGCAGGGAGTTTGGTGTCTGATGTGGACTAGTTTTCAGGTGTATCTTGCTAATGCACTTACTTTAAAACTGATAGGACAATTCTTAGGAATCTGGTGTTAAGAATGCTTCTATAAATTAATCATCAATTAAAATCTGGTGAAGTACTAAAGCAGTTGAAGATTATCTTGTGATAAATGCTTTGTGTCTTATATGAAGCCAAGGGTTTTTGGGAACTATTCTTTAAAGAACTATTGCTACAACAGACAGCATGTCTGAAAGAACAATAGACAAAGTTTACAAAGTGTCAGAAGTCCACTCCAGAATATATCTGCCTCAAAGTGGTGCCTCTATATCAAGATTCAAGTATACTGAGAAAAAATAATTCCTGTTCACAGTGCTGTAAAATAATAAGTAGTGAATCTGATAAACAGCATATGTAGACTTGTACAAACCTACATAAAGCAAATAAAAATATTTTTGTAAAATGCATAAGAGATTTTCATAATGTACAAAAATCCCTAAATAGATTTGCATTTCAATTCCATGTCAACATTTCATACAACTATTGAGTAAGTTTAATGTTTAATGATCTTTGGGTTAATTGCTCCTGATATGTATCCACACTTTTCAGGATTTGAAGCCTCTTGTCTGGAAGAATGCCTCCTAAAGCCCATATTTACCCTAAAGCTAGCACAGTCAGAATCAGTTACCACCAACTTGCCAATGAAGCTGCTGTTGCGTTTATGTCACAGTGCTGAACTCTGTGGATCTGAAGTTATTTAGGTTACAGCTGGAAACTCAAATCAATTCTGCCACTGCTATATGAGGACTGTCTTCTTCTACCTTTGACTATTTGGGTTACTATTATCAGAGCTTTCTGTATTTTTTAACCATATTCTTTATCAGACTACTGCAATATGAGAGATTGTTCTGACTAACTACAAACAGAGGCTTAATGCTTTGAAAAGCATTAACATGAGCAGGATACTAAAGAATAAATTCCTGCAGTATTGCGCTGAAAAACTTAAGCAGGAGATGTTTGTTCTTCCCATCAAGATTGGATGAATGTGTTTGTCGAGTCTTTGTTTTGATGTTCTTATCTTCCAGCAATTTTACAGGGCTCACTTTAGAAGTATAATGAAGTGTCATATCTTGCTAATAAAAATAAATATGAGTAAGGAAATTAAAAACTAGATAAATTTAGCTGGGTTACACTTCAATAGTACTGCTGTCAGCAGCCACACGCCCAACCCACAAAGCTGTTCTTCTCCATGTAAGATTTTTTCAATGGCACAAAAGGTAATACATTTTGTTTAGTTTTGTTGCAAATGACAGAAATTCATGGTTCTGTGAACTCACAGAATTAGTAGAAACCAGAATTAATGAGGTTCTTTGTGCCTGATGGAAATGAAGCTACTAAGGATTTTGTTATGGAGGAATGTATACTTACTGAATGTTTACTTTTTCTTTTACAGTATAAACTGGTATAGAATGAATGACATTACAGCAGACTTTCAAAACTTATTTTAATTAGGGCCAAAATATGATTAGTGAATATTATATATTTGGGGCTTAACTATGAAAAAGCCTGTAAACATACTGAAGAATGTTCTTACTATCTTTGTTTAGCTGTTTGTTTATGAACTAAAAATAGGAGGAAAAGAATAAGCATTTCTAGATATACAACCAGGGGAAATGATCAAAGGGGAGAAGAACAAAGAAAATAAGAGTAGATAATACTAACAAGTAGGATTGGGTAGGTCTGGACACATAGCCAAGAGCCATAAAGGACCAGATGGAAGAAGTGTCACACAGAGAAGCAAAGCAGGGTTAAGACTGATACACAAATCCCATGTGAATATATTTATGCTTTTGGCCTTTACACAACTTTATAATTTCAGTTAGACATCTATTCCTCTCTTACCATGTTACTGATAAAAGTAGGACATGCCCACCCTTTCACAACTTTAATGTAAAGAAATACTGAAAATAAAAGGTTGGGGGAAGGGATATACCAGGAAAGCAGTCCAAGGCAAATATTATTATGGAGTTACCTGTAAGCAACCTTTACAACTGCATTATGTATTCTGCTTCCAAGAAGTTATAACAAACATTTGACAACTCAGTTTAATATGTAAACACCAAAACTGGACAAGAAAAGCATGAAAATCCAGAATATTTCAAGAGGTATGGCTTACCTAGGCAGAAGCTTGCCAATCAGGGGATGAAGTAAGAGCTCTTTTTCTTGTTCTGCCTGTTGCTGCAGCTGTTATGTGAACAGCAGAACTGTAAACAATCTTATCAAGCATAAACTTGCATTTCTTAGTGGTTACAAGGTAAGCTACAACACAAACACACACCCAACTGTGGCAGAGAAAGACATTTTTGGGTAAAATGGTTACTGAAAAGATTATTAAAAGCAAAAGTCTAGCATATGTACAGTACTTTAGGGCATGTTGGAAACAATTCTAAATTGTTTGCATATCCAGTTTTAATATATTCCAGAATTTTGAGTTCTTGTGTATTGCCTGAGGCAGTGACCCAGTCCACAGGATGGCTGCTGGAGACCCTGAGTGCAGCAGAACATGTCTGGCAGACAGTGTTCCAGACATCTGGGAGAACAAGAAGCAGGATTTCAAACCATTCCCCTCCAGTAATGAACACAGGGAGGCCATAGGAAATGCTGCCCCATGAGCAGGGCTAGGGAGCATCCTGTGATGAGCAGCAGAAGAGATGCACATTGTTCTCTGTGACTCCTGTACTAAAGCAGGTGACAGAGTGGCACTGCAGGCTGGAATCTGGCTCCTGTCTACTTCAACTTCAGCAGAATTACCATCAGTTTAGAGGAATGGAAGGTTTAGCTTTGAAGCAGTTGCAGCAGTTAAGATCTACAAGGGAAGCTTGGTTACAGTTAACCTGTACTGAGTCTGACTGACTTAGGCTTTGAAAATTAACTGGAGTAACTTTTATATAAGAAATAAAAATGGCTAAAAGCTGCCATTCAAGATGTTAGTCTATTTTTTTGAATATGTATAACCTTCAAATCACTGTTAGGCACTGCTTGACAGAACGCTGGGCTTTGACTTATTTGGTCTATGATAAACATCTTTAATACGAAACTACATTTTTGTTTGTTATTAATCTCACTGTGCCAAACCAGAGCAGCGAGAGCTTTGCTTTGCAATTTCCTGGCTCCTGAAGATACCCTTCCTGCTTTTCAGGTTCATGTTATTAATATAAAGTCCTTATAGCTGAAAGAAATGCAAACAGAAATTTCCTCTTGTCCTTCAATTCTGGAATAAACTTTATATTCTTTATAATATTATGGAAATATTTACCCTAACCAGCTATTTAGAGGTATTGACGTTTGAATGATAAAGCACTATTTTCAAGGAATGCTGCTCACATCATATCCTATGACAAATTCATCATGCGTGACCATGAAACTAGGCAGGGAGTTGTAACTATATAGTGGGTCACACCCAATGTAATGAATTTAACTGTTAGAGTTTGTTTTCTTTTTAAAGGAGGTTGTTCACTTGGATTCATCCCTCTTTCTAAATTATTTTTTCTTAATTAAAACAAATCTAGGAAAGTCTGCTGGACAAAAGAATTCAGAGTGTCTTGAACAACTAAAGAAGTAACAGTTTAAGGGCTTTTTTTCCCCGCAGAATAGCTCAGTTATCTTTGATATAATGTTGTATACTTCACAGCTTGCCTAGAATAAACAGGGCAGTAACAAAAGTGTATTGAAAAACAGAGTCTGGTCCTGAGAGTTCTCCTGTAGCATAGGACAGTGCTTGTTGATGGCTGGACAGCCTCTGTACTCTGTTGCAGCACAGAATGACCCACAACCCGAGGGTGCTGAAATGCTGGATTTGGACCATTTACTAATTTTATTGTTTGTGCAAAAGACAAATAATTCCTCCTGATAAAACAACAAAATGTGGTTGTTTCTCCCTTGTGCAGTGCTTGGGGCCACATGTTGAACACTGCTGGAGATTTTCTCCAAAGAGGGAATTACTACATTGCTTCCTCAGCTTGAATATGGATCTCAAAGCAACATGAGGTCCTTTAAAATGGACCTCAAAGAACAGTTCTAGAGGTACTTGTCCATTTTTACAGCAGCTCTTGAAATTAGAGGATTGAGTCACCTGAATTTTCCATATGGGGCTTTCACTAGCAAGATTAAATTCACCATTAATTTTAATAATTTTGAATAACCAATAGCTTTTAAACTATTCCATAGTGCTGTGTAGGCTCAAATCATAGTTCTAAATTTAGGCACACATATCCTGTATTTAAAAGAGAAGGGCTCAAATTGCATGTCAAAAATCAAAAAAAATGAGAAATGCAGTGTTAATGGCTACCAGTGAAAAAGCCAGGTATAAGTCATTTACCATTGCATTTCAAAAACATGCTATGACAAAGACATGAATAAATCATATTGCTCCAGGGAATACATTAAGTGCTTTAAATCTCATTTTTCTTCCTTCAACTCCTACTTTTCAGTGGCTGAAACAAATGAAATGAGGATTCTTGGAAAACAGATCCTTTTAGTAAACAACAAGAATCTTATTGCATGGTCTTCATGCCCAGATGATCATATTTATTATTACTGTTATTATAAGCACACAAGAGCTCTACTAACAGACAAAATTGTGTCAAGGCACTAAGCAAAGAGAAAAACATGACCCATATGACAGATAGCTTAACAATCTAAGACAAGAAACAACAGGCTACAGTGTCAGAGGAGTTCTAGGAAACTGCATAAGTCCACAAGATTAACCCTTATTTCAGTTCACCAGCAGCTCAGCTGTTGTTAAATTTTTTGGTGAGCACCACTGCAAAGGACATTTGAGGAAAGATTTGAATACAAAATTATTCCAGTGTCTGCATGTTTCTGTGAATTTCTTCATGCTATGGAGTCAATGTTGAGGCTGGCGTGGCATAATGAATTAACACCACAGGCTGGTACTGTGACTGAACAGAAGTTCACTCTCCTAGCAGCATCACCAAGAGCAGCATACAGCTACTATTTGGCTATGTCTGCCTGTCTACAGCTATTTGTGGAGGTACAGTCTATAAAAAAATTGTGTTTCATAACTTGCTGAAATATAAGTCACATTTATATCAGCACCCTTTAAACAGTAAAGAAAAAAACACAAGAAATAACTCATGCTGCACTCCTACCATAATGCCACTGCTTAGCCTGGAAGGTGAACGCTGTGAATTTACTTGTATTTTATTTACATAATTTTGCATGACAGGAAGGAGCAGGAGGAAGACAGAGATAGCATGAAAAACCCTGCAATCTAGGCATTTATGGGGTCAAGTGTACATCACTACCTTGGATGGCCACTCATGGAAAGAATGGCCATTCCTCCTTGGCTTAGTCGTGCTCAATATACACCTGGATCATGGGGTGGACAATGCTGCAGGGCTCAGCAGCTGCCTTCCTTGACTATGGGAAATGTCAGATGATCTTAATAACAGGGTTTGCCACCTGTCTCTCCTCTAATTATGTCATTAATATTATAAGCATCCTAAAGCTGAGGATGAAAGTGTAGACTAGGGCTAGCATTTATCTAGGATCTTATTAATCTGCATATATGTGAAATTTTCTTATCTGAAAGATGTCTGCCTTTATTAAGTCTGAAATTGTTAGATATATTGTGTTGCCTGAAATGCATGCCAATGAAAGGACCAGATTTTACCTTCACGGCAGAGCCATTACAGCAGCAGTTTGCAGTACCAATTTTCCATAAAAATATACAAGGGGTCAGAACATGCTCTCCCACAAAAAACCCTACCTACAGAGACTATGGAAAATGAATTCATTGGTGAGTTTCTCCCATTTTTCCCACTGAATGTTGTGAGGAGAATGAGGTTACCTCTCTAGGTTTTGAAGAACTGTCCCAGACTTAGTCTCCAGGAACACACAGAGCCCAAAAAGCCACCATGGTCCAAGATCAGCCACATGGAGCCCACATGCTCCTGTCAGAGCTGTTTGCTCGAGGCAATCAGGAACTCCCTCTGTTGTGATGATGCCATATCTGATCCCTTCCTTCCTGAATATAAATAGTTTCATTCTCAAGAAAAGCCAGTGAGATATTCATCATAATTTCACGTTGCTATTTTTAAAAAATAGCTACACGGCTTTGTCATGCACAACTTCCAACAGGAAATATTTTCAGTTTGTGAGAATGTAACTCTTACTGACCAATAGATTATTCGTGCCCCATTTTTGTATGTTTTATTATGGTTATCCAATTTAACATCGACAATTTAAAATTACCAATTTTATAATTATGAAGTACTGAAGCAGTTTGGTTATTGTCTTTGTTATTTCATTGATTATTAGTAACTGACTAGTGAATTTAAAGGATGTTTCAACTGGTAATACTACTTTTTAGCCTGTGGACAGACTTGTTTCTGTTAATATTTAATAGCTTTTATGAGGGAACAATTCTATCAGAACAACTGAGTTTATTAATATTTTTCATTTTGTTATACCAGTGGTACGTGTTAGTTGATTCATGAATATTATACTTTCAATTACTGGCATTTCCTGAACATATAAATACAGAGTTACATTCTTTGGATTCTGTAAATTTATTTTGTCAAATTTCCCAGAGAGAGCTAAAGGGTAAGAACATTATCCTTCTGCATGCATTTTCAATGATTTTTCATATATTTTTTTTCCATAATCAGAGGTGGAGGCAGGTCCCATGGAATACACACCAAAAGCCTCTCCATAGGGTGACAGAATAAATTCACATGTCTCATGAGGGGAACATGCAGCAGATCTACTTGCAAAGAGCTATATGAGGCTCAGGAAGAAAATGCTACAGCATTGTTGAAGGACACTAGTGACAGTCCAGCTACAGAAGGACACTGGCTTTTGTCTCTTCCTCTTCTGTTAAGCAATAATACTTTTTCCATTCACTTCCTAATTTCCCAATAATGTATTAACATACTTCTGACAATGTTAAAAACCAGTCATTTATACTGCTGAATGATGAACGTTTCTAAGCATGGCCTAGCTGCTCATCCCAATTTTTTGGATAGGCCACCATCTATTTTGTATTTCCATAAAGTTAGCACTGATGATAAATGGAAGAACCAAATACTGATCCTAACCTAAATCAGCCCATCTGCAAATAAACAAAGGCTGAGAGGGAGGCAGTGGGAATGCATGCTCTTTTGGAGTCAAATCCTTTTTCTTTTTTTTTTATTTCAAGCCACAAGAAACAGCCTTTTCTGATTACATTGAATTTTTTAAGAGGGGCATCAGGTACTTCACTAAAAGATAATGTCACATATTATTAAGTGCTAACAATTAAGTGTAGTTTTGTTAAAATATACAGTGTGTCATTCTTTTGAATAAGAAATATATTAAATCCACATTTTACCAATCTGCAGCTTTCTTCCAGCTTTTATCCTTCAAAAATAAACATGATTGCTTAACAATAAGTTACAAATAAGAAAATATGCATTCCTGCTCGCCCACATGTTCCTAGTGTATGTTGTAGAAAAATATAACATGCACAAGAAACAGAACCTAGAATCACTGTGAAGTCTTCAAAGCCATTCCCTGACAAATTTAGGAAAGAAACTCAATGTATGGGAAAATTTGAGTTTTTGCAGTTAATTTCAAATTTTTTACTTTATCCTTTGCTGATGTCAGATATGATGATGTAATAACAGCTGCTGGTGATAGTGATTGACACCATACAGAAAAAGCTGTGTTCTGAAAGGCTGGAAAAGATCTTTTCTAATCTGAATGATACGTGCTATGAAGCAAAGGTTAAGCAGCAGGAAAAAAACCCATTTTTTCCTGTCTTTTCTAATCTGAATGATACCTACGATTCTATGAAGCAAAGGTTAAGCAGCAGGAAAAAAACCCATTTTTTCCTTCTATGCAAACAATTGCGAGACAGTGTGCTGATATAATTTTTGTCTAAGTCTTGACTCAGATGCTTGTATGTTGCTTTCATTCTAACAGTACACACATAATTCCAGCCAAACACATTTTTCTAATTTAACTGTAGATTTACTATAGTATTACAGAATTATGTACTTGTAAAAACACACATGTGGTCTGTATTGTGTGAAGTCTGCATTATTACAGGTTTCCACATTAAAAATTGGTTTTGGTAACAAAAAATAAGTTCATAAAATGTTATACAGAACCCAAGGTGTTTAGAAATACAATTGCTCAAGTTTTTAAGTAAAACACAACATCTCTTTAATATACAGTCCAGAAGCCATTCCATCCTGAAGTTATATTTACCAACCCGTCTTCAGCAGCCAATTTTTTCCCTTTGTTTTGGCTAGGCAAGGAAACATGTACTCCAAACATATGAAAGAGTGTTTTATATGCTTTCTGTGCTAAAAATGATGTTTATAGAAATCTCAGTAGTTAATAAAAAATACAAAGAATAATAAATTCATTATTCATACTCAAAGTTTAGTTAAGTATTTTATTTCAAAATGTTTGGGGAATTGTACAGATAAGAGTTATATGTAACAACTTTTCTAAGATGCTACATACTTAGTTGAATATTTCCTTCTAAATAGCTGACAGTAGCATCTTCTGAGAATTTATAGAGGCACTTCTTGGAGATGCGGGGACAGAGACAAAGGAGAAAAGAGGCAGTATCTGAACAACAATCCTTACACATTTGCAATGTAGACAGTTTTGTGCTTCTCAATTGCTGCTATGTCATGCTCCAGTTGTTTCAGCTTTAATTCCAGTTCTTCTTTATGCATCTTCTTGTATGTGGTGTCTGTTACTATTGGAAGACCCTGATATGCACGATTTATTTCCTCCCAGTTCTTTTTCAGTGCCTGGTGCCATTACATGAAAAGGAAATATATGAGAAAAAGTTAGAACAACATGTATACAAACTACTTGGTTTTTTATTTATATTACATTTGCTAAGTGTCACTGCAATGTAAAAATAATAGATAAGTACATTAATAATGTGTAACCATCTTAATTGGACCAAATTAATTAAATCCTTATGGAACTCCAGCCATATTCGGCAAAATTCAGCAAAGTTTCAGGCCATCTCACCATCAGCTTAATTTTCTGTAATCAAGACTTTTCATCTTAACTGGACCAAATCAATTAAATCCTTATGAGTTATGATACTTGGAACTCCAACCATATTCAGCAAAGTTTCAGGCCATCTCACCATCAGCTTAATTTTCTGTAATCAAGACTTTGTTCAGACCATGGTCACCAAAATGATTGCACAGCATTTTAACTTCTATAAACTACTTTGAAAAAATACTGAATAATCGCATTCCCCTTCTAATCGACATTTACGGTAACAACTATGGGCAATTTATTTATCATTTGGACTAAAAACCCTAACTGTCACTGACCCTATCGATAATAATTTTAATAACTACTACCTCTCTTGAATGCTGCTGTGCAAAGCACTACCTTTAGATAAAGCAAACCATATCCTCCATATACAAAACCTTGAAACTAAAATTCTACATTTAAAAATTTAAAATGCTATAATCAAAACTTATTCATAAACCTGTTAAATCAGAGACAGAGACACCAGAGACAACACTTTTATCCACCAATATACACTAAAAGGAAGCAGATAGTGGTAGAAAAATAAAATTTACATCTTGTCTTTATATCCTTCTTACAATTACCACAACCATCGCTCTTACTTTCTCTCCTCAAAAGTATAATCAAAATCTGCACATTATATCCCCATTTTTGTGAGGATTTAGTAGACTTTATCCAGTGCATCAAATGTCCCCATGAAAACTATATGGGTGAACTTAATAATCACAACTAACAAGGAACTGAGAGAGCAATCAGTAAATAACACGCCTATTGGTGAGAAAACAGTTCTCAAAAATGTTTATGGCTCTCAGTTCTGTCACCTTAGAGGATATCACAAAGTATCTGCACAAATAAAGAAGTGAAATTACTCTCTTGGGAACCAAAGCTTTCAGCTCTTCTCCATAACTAAAACTGGATTCAATTGGCACACTGATTTTATGGCATACTGTGATTTCCAACCTCATGTCCTCCATTATTATTAAACACTTTTCTCACAGTCTGGCTAACTGATGAACATACTGAAGTTAAATTTAGAGGGTTTATTTTTATACATATTTAGCTTTGAAGACTGTTGTTTCTATTTCAGAACTCAAGGGCCCTTGTGCTTAAAAACTTGTCTTTTGTTGACTGTATAAATTGATTTACAGAAAAAAAATTAACTCTCCTGCCAACACTAAGAAAAATCTAATCTTTATTATGAACTAATATTTTAACAATTCAAACCAGTGTATTTATTGCATATCAATTCATGCTTTTTGCATATTCATATTAAGCATCTAAGTGTTGCTCATAAAGGTCATTACAACAATCTTCATATACAAATATTTACATAAGCTTAAAAATCTTACTGCTACATGTGAAACTTAGAGCAACAAGGATATTTACCTACTGTCTGGTAACAATACTTGTTTTTGCTATTCAAGGCTGTAAAGTACTTTGGTAAGTTTCATAGTCTACCAGGCATCAGGTACAGTTTACAAATATATAGGCATAAAAATAAATCTCATCTTTTCAAAAACTTTCATAAAAGAGTAATTCATAGATTATTTAAACAATTCTTATTTGTGTATATTAGTAAGAACTGGCTTGAAAATAATTGAAAACAATGAATTTTAAAACATTAGAGCATACATTCATCAAAATTGCTCTATCCCTACAAAGTGGAGTGATCAAAAGCAGATCATGACTCTATAAAAATCTCCTTCACAGCTCCTCCAACAATGTAATATGCTGACCACTATTCCTACTGCTAGATCACAAACTGAATATCCAACTCTATATAGGGAATTCTAATACATGCTGGATTAGTGAGAAATATGTACTGCATTTATCAGCATTCTCTTTTATTCTCATAAAATCCCAACCAAAGTAAGCACAACGAAGAGTTCAAAAAATGTTGGCACAAATTACTTCCCTTTATTTTTGTAATGTCATGAGGCTTGATTTTGGTCTCAGGCATCAACTGCCACGTATTCTTTCAAATCACATAGTGCACATGTGTTCACTAGCAATGTCAATTATTTTAAAGGACAGAAATTCCCATATGTCTACAGCTGAGCCCTGGGTAGAAGCCACATACCCTGGGGACACTAGTTCCTCCTGACAATATAACTGTATAAGTAAGCTCATGGAAGTGTAAATGTTTTTGAAAAAAAAAATACTGAGTTAATAAAAACAATCTAAAAATTTTAAAAATTAAAAAAAATATTCCAGTGCATTCCTCTATTTGAAAAATACAAAACATCATTTTAATCAAACTAAATGCAGAATGGTGAGCAGCTGGACATTGGACCATCAGCTTGTCCCATGCCTTTGTCACCATAAAAATATCTCAATCATCTTCAAAACAGCATGCTGTTTTGTTCTTTATATTGCTGTCAGTGCAATACCCTCACCTCTGTCCCATTCTCCTTCCTAGCTTCTACTGCTTGTTGTATATGCAAAAGACCATTGTGCTGGACATTTCAGGTCTTGCCAATTAACCAGTTTGTCTTTCAGGCAAGAGAGTTAGACATCGTTTTCTCTCTAGATATTTTTTTGTGGACATTCAGTATCTTTGAGCTGTCCATCTATTTATTAATTTGTTTCAGGTGGATGATAAGAGCAAGTTATTAAGGAACAGACTGATATACAGATATCATAGTCATATAAGCTTCATTTTCACAGGAAATTTGTCTAAAAAGTGGTCAAGAAAAATTCCAGTTCTAGGTCAGGATATACTTTTAAGAAATCTCTTTTATGCTCTACTCCTTTTATGGTATTAATTTTCTTTAAAAAGTCTTGTGCATAAAAACTGCATGAAAGTATACAGAACAACTTGACAGAATACAAAATTTTCAGTTATAGTTCTGTGCCTACATTGCAGATTAATTCTGGGTTTTTTTTGCCACATTTTAAAGCAAGTCATTATGCTTTAATCAGTGAGGTCACAATGTGAAGATAGAAATTGCCAATAAAAGGAGAAATATTCTGCATTAGGAAAAAAATTGTATTTCTCCATTAATAAGTGTCACTAAATCCATATTGGTGATTTTCTGCTCTTTGAAGTTTCACTGAAATTTGAAGTCATTAATGTGAATAAGGACCAAACAGAATTGAAACAATTAAAACTGTATCTAGATTAGTTCCTTTCAGTTGTATACAACTGTTCTACAGCTCCATCTAGTGAAAAAGTGACATACTAATTTGTTTCACTTAAAAAACCCAGAAAGTATACTTCTATTATTTATATGGACTTACATTACTGTATTTAATCTTTTGGACATGATACTAGTTACACTAAATCAAAATATGCACCTTCAGAATATTTGTCCTTTCTTCTTCAGATAGAGCTTTCATGGCTTTCTTCTTCAGTTGCTCCAAAACACTGGCCTGGTATTCTTCCTCCTCTCTCTTCATTTCTTCATTTCTCTGTATCACATATTTTGGTAAAACACCATAGTTCTATAAGGAGAAGAAAGAAGTTCCTTATATGTGCTTTTAAAAAGGAAACAAAGAGATACGTGTCATTCATCCATCCATTTGCAAAAATTGCTTGAAATGACAATTTGTGCTACTGAGCACTAAAATCCTAAATCACCATGTTCTTAAAAGTGTCAAACATGACACTTTTTAGCCTGAGAAAAACATATAAACAATTCCCTTCAATTTATTTCACAACCTTAGAGGACAACAGAATCCAGAAACCAAAATGTCTATTTATAAGAACTGCTGGTTGAGCAAGTAGTTTAAAACCTGTTCATGACAGTGACCCATTTTACATTTTTATACAGTGTCAGCTTCTGTGATTGGAAACATTCCTGAGACAATGTCTTTGAAAGGTCTTCCTGTATCATGATTTTTGCTGAACACTGCAACATGCAAGAACACATACATGAAAATTGGACTAGTTAAGAAGGATAAACTATTCCATACTGATGTGTTTCAGTGAGGGAAAAAATAACTTCTGAATATCCCAGACATTCTTGGGGAAACACACCTATTTTACCTCAACCTTTGTAAAATAAAGCTACTCTAGCCAAAAGATATCACAGTCTACCTTCTGTCCACTAAATGCAAAATTATTCAGTAATCTTTTAGTGTCAGGTAGCACTATGACTAGCATGGTTTATGTACATGTTTAGCCATGGAAAAGTACTGCAAGGGCTTCAGGTTCTTTTTGGCATCTTCTCTGTCACAAGTTACGTCTTATGCCATCTCTTAGTGCTCTGTCATGGGCTGCATGTTTACATAAGCCAGACTCTTGATAGATCTTATTTTCCTGGGTAGGGGATGGACTGTTCCTGTGCACAGAAGAAGTTGTATTTAAAAGCATGTCACTCTCCCAAGGTCTTTGCTTTCCAGAGCTGTCTCACATGGGGTCCTACTTACCAGTTACCCTTAACAAGTTGCTGTTTGCTCTTCTGAGCAGTCAGTACCCTACCACCTGGCTCCCTAAACAGGAGGGGGTCTGCAACTGCTACATGGTCTGTGCCACCCAGACCACAAGTGATTATCACACCCCTGAGCAATTCTTCCTGGTTTGTAAGTAGCAGAACCAGAAGAGTATGACCATTGATTGGCTCATCCACCATCTGTGAAGATTTTGCTGGCATGCTTCAGGAAACTTTTTGATTGCTTTCATGCCATTGTGTTATCCTTTCAGCAGCTATCAAGGAGAGCAATGTCTTCCATAAGAAGCTGCATTATGATCTGAAGATTTCCTCAAGTTGCTTAAAGAGATTTTCATCCAGGTCCTCACCTTAATGGGTGCTCCATAACGAACACACTTTTGACAGTTGCCGGCCTTTCCTCTGATTCTGACCCAACAGGCTCAACCAGCCTGTTGCCAGTTTCATAGAAGAACTCCATATATTTGAACAGCTCCTTCATTCAAAGAGCAACCCTCCCTCTCTTGTTCCCTGCCTGTCTTTTCTAAGCAGCAAACATTCACTCATCACAGCTTTCCATGTCTCCCCTTTTAACACTCCCTGGCTTCCCAATGCAAGACATATACTATTGCTTTAGAACAATCATTCTGCAAAATTTTTTGGCTGACAGCATAAGCAAATGAAAACAGAGCAAAGGCAAGGCACAAATCTAGTGCCAGTGATTTCTCCTTGATGAATTCAAGAGGTCTAACACAAACAGCCATGGTATCTATGCAATAGTGAAACTAAAATAGGCATTACGAATAGTGTTTCCAATATAATTTAATAAAACATACCTTTTTATTAATGTATTTTGGATAAAGTCCTGAAGGTTCAAGGAGATATTTATCTCCCTGTCTTGTATCAACACAAAAATGTCGAGGCTTTTTAGGCTCCCCTGTCATAACAGCAACTGCATTTTTAATTATAAAATTCTTTTTAATGCGAGTAACTGGGTGGTATGTCCTGGGTGGCACTGACAATGGAAGCAATTTTTTACCATCCTCTTCTTTGTTTTCTGTGAATAGAGCATGTAAACATTCTCAGCAACAAATCTGAGGAGATTTACAATTTCATATTATTACACTTTTCAAAAGGGAAAAACTATGTACAGAATTACATAAAAATGGAACCCAACAGTGTCTACAATGAAAGAACTGCCTGTCAATGAACTGTGAGGTATGTTTGTTTGGCCTAACAGAAATTTCATAACCCAGGAAATACTATGGTGTTTCAGATGGGTTTTCCTTATTTGTCACTCATTTAATTGCAGTAGTACAGGATTTTTTCAAATGTAATCATAACTACTTTTAGTAGAGGTGCTCATTGTCAGAGCCCTTGGGCAATAATGGTCCTGTCCAGTGTCAACTGGCACATCCACCCCACCCCCTTGGGCTCACAGCCCCATTTCACCTGTCAATACCTGGATGAGCTGTCTCAGCCAAGTCTGCCCCTAGTCCTGCTCCTGAAGAGCTATATGGAATCAGTGGAGGGGCCTGGCCTGTAACCTGATTTTGCCTGATGGTCAGTGGGACACTGACAGGGCAGACTTTCCTCACCAGCCCGCTCTGCTGGCTGCCTGACGTGGTCGGACTGCACTCTCTTGGTGAGGTCTTTGCCCAGTCTCCATGGCGGTTGCCCTCAATGTCTGACTCATCTCTCCCTAGGGAAGAGCCCTGCTCCTGCTGCTCCCTAATCCTTACAAACAACTTCTCATAATCCTTTCTCCAGAGAATATAGACTTTCTTCCATTTGAGTGTAATATTTTCTCCAAGGCACCAACAGAATTCAGTAGTATCCTGAGTAGTCTCACTTATAGTAAGCAATTAAGAATAATTATTTCCCATCATATTTCCCACTAGACATAACTCTAATTCATTATCATTACCAGAAATAATGATCCAAGTCATCTGAGTTCATGTTCTTCTTTGGCAGTAAGTAAGTGTAATGTCACAAGTGACAAGCTCATTCCTACAACAGCTGGGTCCTGATACTGCCCCCACAAACCAGTACTTCTGTTTTTACAACCTGATAGCTGGCCATAACGTAGTACTGTAGGACATGAAGATGTAACTCTACTCTAAAAAATACATTATACTGCATAAATTTCCTGTCTGCAACAGCTGGATCCTGATACTGCCCCCACAACAATACTGATACTGATTCCAACAGCTGGGTCCTGATACTGCCTCCACAAACCAGTACTTCTGTTTTTACAACCCGATAGCTGGCCATAACATAGTACTGTAGGACATGAAGATGTAACTCTACTCTAAAAAATACATTATAGTGCATAAATTTCCTGTCTACACTTACTTGGTGCTAGCTTGGGTTCCTTGGAACGTTTCTGCAGAAAATCATTTGGAGACGGCACGGCAACTTTTGCTGGCCCCATAGTTTTCCACTGAGATTTATTTTTCTCTGCCTCATGTTTCACAAGTTGTTTAAGCTTGGATATATACCTTAGAGGTTAAAAAATATCCATAAAGAAGTTAAAGGTCAGAAAAATATTCAAAATAGTTCTTCAAAGAATATACTTTTTTGCAGTAGCTCATGGCAAAAGCCTAATCAGTTTTGTTTTGTACTCTCTCCCAAATACAGACCATCATTCACACAGCCTCCATGCTAATGCTAAATCTAGTAGTGCACTGACAAATAAGCTCTCTGGTTCTGAAGTTAGCTTGCTTCTTCCTTCTGTTCTTGTGTCTCTGAGGTCAGGATTATCACACTTGGGGAAATAAATACCAAATATATACGCTGAAAACAGACATTCTGAAATCCAACAAAACCTACATTTTGTAAATAAACTTGAGTATTGCTTGCATGAATTCCTTATGGTACATGGTGTGATTCTTGGGGTGTCCTGTGCAGGGCCAGGAGTTGGACTCAATGACCCTGATGGCCCCCTTCCAACTCAGCATTATCTATTTTTCTATGATTTATGCTCAAGAAAAGATGTCAAATGTAGTCAAGAATTGTACAGGATGTCCTTGATCATCAGGTTTTTTTATTACTGTCCACTGTATCACTGTCTCAATGTTCCAGCTGAACCATCTGTTACAGACACTTATGAGAGATGAGATGGGTGACCACTCTGAAATAGCACAGCACACTGCAGATTCCTTATATTACACAGACAGGAGTGTGATCCTGAACAATGGTAACCAGCGGGTGGGTTTGGCACTGAAACAGCTGATGTGAAAATCAGTAAGGGCTCAGACAAAAAAAGCTGTGTGAACATGGTATGCACACACTGCTGTTTTGGTCTAATGTTGCATATGGCATGATAACTTCTGCTTTAATCAAAATCTCCAAAAGAAGCCAAATACTGATCATTAGCACTGGCAACATCTTGCCTCTATCCTCTGAAGGATCGAGCTGTCACAGATGTTTGCCTGAGGAAGCAGAACTCCCTGCTCTTGAAGCAAAGGCTCCCTCACTGTACTTTTATAATCTGTCCATCTTTAGAAAACATGTCATATTAATTTATGGTAGACAAAAGCTTATGAAAAACTGTGCTTATTTTACAGAAAAAACGTCCTTTTATAATCTGCCCATATAATTTTTTCTTCAGAAAACATGTCATATTAATTTATGGTAGACAAAAGCTTATGAAAAACTGTGCTTATTTTACAGAAAAAAAAAGTGTTTATGAAAAAAACTATGTCATGTTTTCAAGTAAGGATAAAAAATGAAAAAAATTACATATACTGCAACCCATTCTATGGAAATACTGAAATAGGAAGAAAGAAACCATGTAATCCTGGGCCACTGAATGTGTATCACAGTAGCAACACTGACAAAAGCTCTTGTCCATGAGCTGCAAATGTCCAATAAATGTATTTGTACTTGATCATAACATTAGAACATGTCAGAGGACTTCATTAAAATTGTGGACTTATTTTGTCTTTTGGAGATTTGGTCTCCAAAATCAGAGAGAGGGTTATCATAAGATCATATGTACTTCCTGAAATACTTCTAATTATAAGGAATGAGGTTTTATTTTAATTTTTTTTTCTGTTAAATTCACAGCAAACAGCAATAGACATTGCACAACCGTGCCAAATTGATAAATAATAGTATCCCTCACCATTTTCTAGAAGTGGCATCATGAGCATATGGGAGAGAAAGGCACTGGCTTTATGCAAATTTTGACCTACTGGGGTTCACAGTCTTGGAATGAGAAAATGCATGAGAAGACACTGAGTTTCTTACATACTGGCATGAGGTGAAAACATCATTTGTGCACAGCTATAGACATTCCTTTGGACAAAGAGATGGGGGATCTGTTATCTTTCCAGTGACTTTCCAGACCAAGAAAGTGGCTCAATATCACAGGGTTCGAGAGGGTTGCAAGGAAAAAACCATGGTTATGACCAACATCAGAATCTAATCTGCTCATCATTAAGCAAAGGAAAAAGAGATAATACATCTGTAAGAAGACAGAAGATGACACCTATTCCTTAGGTGTCAACAAAGGATATCAAAGTTGGGGAAATGAGGATGTTTGCTGTGGTTTCAGGAGCAGTACCAGTCAGCTGAGAGTGAAATATATATGATTTCATTTGGAAAAAAAACTCCATATAACAAAGTAGATTTTGTATGCATTAGTTAAAACTGGTCAAATCATGCTATTAACCAGGTTCAATAGTTCTGTTATCAGCTGAATATTTGTCACATTGTGAACCTAAGCTGCAAGTGTGGTGACAACAGAAGTCAATGAGATCAGAAGGGGATTTAGTCAGATTATATCTAAGCCATGGAATCTGTTGCCTAAACTGAACCTAATGGTCATGGAGTATCCAAATCTCTGAACGGTATTAAATCAGGAATGGATTTAGCCTGCATGCCTCACCATATTGTCCTTTCACCTTCCTCTGTCTTCAAAAGTATCTGTCCAAAACTATATCCATTCACAATGAAAACAAACAAAATTTAAAGACCTACTTTTACATGGGAAAGACTGAGAACTAGGAATCTCAGAAGTCTGAATCCTTTTACCTGAAACAGGATAACGACCTTTGTTCTAATGAGTGTCACTGATACATCTACTTGTTTTAAAGCTATTGAGTTACGACCTACCCTTTCACTAAAGATGCTAAAGTGTAACAGCCTTTTATATAAATAGGCACTTGAAATAAAACAACACGTCTGCATAGCTCTTGGCAAAAGGCCTTTTTTTTATATTTTTAAGGCAAGTGGTAAGAAAGGGAAGCAAAAGAAACAATGTCAGAGGATACACTTGAAACACAGAAAGTACGGAAACTGGAGAGCCCACCTTTTAGCAGCTCACTGAGCTGTTCTAAGTGCAAATAACAAAGATGTGATGTAATTCCTGTGCACAGAAGGAGTGCTTTGTAAATTATGAACTAACAAGATGTCACTGAAGACACCAAACTTATTCATCACTTCTTGGAGCAGACTGTAAACCCTCAGATCACAGAATCAATTAGATTGGAAAAGACCTCTGAATTATCAAGTCAAACACCATCTTGTCAACTACACAACATCCAGTATTTCCTTAAACACCTCCAGGGACAGGGATTCCACCACCTTCCCGGGCAGCCCACTCCAGCACCTAACCACCCATTCTCGTGAAGAACCTAATGTCCAATCTAAACCTGCCCTGGTGCAGCTGAGGCCACGTCCTCTTCTCCGATCGGGAACGGCCTAGGGAAAAAAGACCAACCCCCACCTGGCTGCACACTCCTTTCAGGCAGTTGTAGAGAGCGATAAAATCACCCCTGAGCCTCCTCTTCTCCAGGCAGCTCCCTCAGCTGCTCCTCATCGGACTCGTGCTCCAGACCCTTCCCCAAGTTCGCTGCCCTACTCTGGACAGGCTCCAGCTCCTCAATATCCCTCCCGATGCCAGTGACTCCTTAGGAGGAGGAGTAACTATGCAAAAACTAGTTTGTTTGGGGGTTTTTGAAACCTATTAGCCGACAGATGCATTGCCTTGCCGGAACCAGCCAGCCTTGCCTGCAAGCAGCTCCGCCACACCCACATACCCGTCAGATTTGGCGGGCGGCTTCGGCCGGGGCGGGGGGTCACAGCCGCCCTCCTGGGCACTCTGCGTGGCCATGCTGCCGCCGCGGGAGCCCGGGCACAGGGACGCGCTCGCCTGCTTGTGAGGCTCTGGACGCGGGGTACCCCTTCTGGGGGGTTCGGACCGGGGAAGCGCCGCCTCGCCGAGGGGCTCGGGGCGGGCCGGCGGCTGTTGTCAGTTACCGGGGAAACCGCCAGGGAACGGCGCCATGAGGGGCGGGGCCCCCGCGGCCACCTGCTCCAGCGCCAGGCTCGGAACGGCCGCGCAGGCGCAGCTGCTGCCGGTACGGCCGGCGCGGCGCGCGGGGAGGCGGGGCGCGCCGGGCCGTTGGACTGCGCGTGCGCGGTACCTGTGGCAGCGGTCCCCGCCCCAGCCGGTACGTGCGCGCGCCGCGCTGAGGGCGTTGGGGGCCGGGGGTGGAACCCAGCGGGGTCAGGGGGGACGGGACGGGACGGGACGGGACGGGACGGGACGGGACTGGACTGGACAGGACAGGACAGGGCGGGAAAGGAGGGTGGCAGCCCGCAGCCCGGGGCAGTGGCGGCCGGCTGGGTGGGTGCGGTCCGTCTGGCTCCCTCCCTCCTCCCATCCGCGCTTTGACTCCTTCAGGGAGCCGCTGCAGGAGGTCGGTGCGGGGGCTGGTCTCGTGTCTATGCAAGTAACAATGCCCAGTTTCCATTAGAGCATCTGTCACCGGCAGTGGTTGTTAAAATTGGGGGTCACGGCTAAAGATATATAGGTGCTGTCCACGTCCATGTCGAGCTGAATAGCCAAAGCAAAATGTTACTGGAGGTGTGGGTGTAAGCTCTGCTGCCACAACCCCGCCCTTTTGGCACGGAGTTTGTATCTAAAGTGGGGTGGGTGGATCATTTGACTGTTTTTACTGTTTAAGTTTTGTCGGTGGGCAAAAAATAATTTCAAAGAAATGGGTTGTTTTCAATGCTTGCAGCCTTTTAAGTGGGTGAGTGCAAAAGTCAAGTTGATTTTAAACAATACCTATGGCCTAAATTCACAAGGCAGCCCAGATGTTACATCTATGATCTGAGTAATGCACACCAACTGACTGCCGCTCAGAGTTACCCTGTAGCGAGCAGGATGCGGCAGGCAGGACTCTGTGCTTGGCATGGTTTTCATTCCCTCAGTTCACACGCACAATGCTTGAAGTGATTCTTATGTTCAAGAAATAAAGTCACTAAAATATACTGGGTTTGGGTTTATTTACTCCTCAATATTACTTTTTTACATAATGCAAGTTTAGTATAGAGGTCTCTTTCTGTCCCTGAAAAGAAAATATACATATTTATGTATGCACTAGGGTGCTTACTATTGCAATACACTTTTAGAGCAATACCGGATATTACAATTATTCTTCGCCATTTGTTTTTCCTTTTATTAAGGGTTTATAAAGGTTTTTTAAACCCTTTTTTGATTAAAGATTTATAAAACTATATTGCATCTACACAGGATGATCCCCTTATACCTTACAAGGATTGAGGAAAACACCTGGATGGCATTCTATGCCCATCTTTACTCTGATCTATGCCTTGTAATTACAGCATATCTTCCAGGTCACAGCACACGCTGCAAACACAGAGATTTACTGTTCACAAACTCAATTTTACATGGAAGTGAGCAAATGCTCTTCCCCCTGCCTCCCATCTCGGTTTTAGGGAGATTTTGAGAGTCTTTCCCCTTTTGCTCTAAACATGGCAGACAAATCATGTGTTCCAGTTAGTGCTGATATTGGTGTTTATTTCTCTAAGTAAACAAAGCACAATGTTGGGAGTTTCTTACTTTTTTGGAAATCCATCCTTGTCACTTTTTTTGGTAGCGTCCTCATGATTTCTCTCTGTCTGTCTGTCTCTTTCTCATCCTCTTTCCATGCCCAAATTACATTCAATACAATTCCAGTGTAGGAGTTCTTCAAAAATCCCTTGCTTCGTTTCCATCCCTTCAGAAGAGATTTGAATGCAACTCATCCAGCCTTGCTGTTGCACAAGACTGTGAGTTATCTGCATATTTAAGTGGGTCTTGCATTTGCTTTTTTTAGAAAGAAAGGATTAAAAATAATAAAAGTTTTCTTGGGAGGTGGGACAAATGCATATTTTGGTAACATTTTGATTACAAGAAGGTAATCAAGTTAATTGTTACTTATAAATGTGTAGTTAAAAGCAAGTCTTCTAGAAGAAAAACAAATTGTTTTTTAATTCCTATAAGCAATATTATTTGCGAACAGTATTGTAATGTAAGGCTTGGATGTCTTTTTTTACCTTGAGGATACGGACTTTGAAGTTGGGTCTGTCAGTGGAAACAAGCTGGAACTAAGCAGGAGAGGGGAATGAGTCTTACTCTGAAAAACACCTCCTTGGCACTGATGAGGTCATAGCTGGATTTATGTTTGAACTCTTGTTCTGAATTTTATATCCTTGAGGGCTTTTTCTTAGATATTTTCTGAAGGACTAGTTACTGTTTGTCTTTTTTTTGTTTTCTTTCTGAAGCAGTTAAGTGGATTGTCAAGTTGTCTTGGAAAAAAACCCAGAATAACTCATCAGAAGATGTTTCACATTTTTCAATATCAGCCTTTAAGACTAATAACCCAAAACAGTCTTTCTAGCATGTGTTTAAAACTCATGCTTTCAAGACCTGTTGCATTTGCACAGATATGGAAGTCATGGTTCTCAAGTCATTCTCTTCTTGGAAAGAAAAATATTATCCTGATGGGACCTCCAGGTGCTGGGAAAACAACGACTGGGAGAATAGTGGGCCAGAAACTGGATTGCCCTGTCATAGACATAGATGATGATGTCCTTGAAACAACCTGGAATATGAGCGTGTCAGAAAAACTGCAGGACGTTGGTTATGAGGAATTTCTAGAGGAGGAAGGAAAAGCCCTGTTGAAGTTCTCAGCATCTGGAAGTGTAATTTCCCTTAGTGGGTCCAATCCAATGCATGCTGCTGGCATGCAGCACATAAAGAAAAATGGAATAGTTGTGTATCTGGATGTGCCCACAACAGTCATTATGAGCAGGCTGAAATCAAAGCAAATGGCTCGTATTGTGGGCCTGTCTCCTGGTATTTCTCTCAAAGACGTTCTTCAGTTCAGGAAGCAGTTCTACAAAAGGTGGTTTGACATCCGTGTTCTTTGTGGTGGGGACGTTGCAGCAGAGGTTGTAGCAGAAAAGGTACTTGACGCTGTGAAGAGATACCAAGACTCAGAACTGGAAACTTTCATTTCAACGAGGTCTAGTAGGTCTGGAAGGAGTACGGAAGAAGACTCTCATAAATTGTATTTCAGTGATGTTGTTATTCAGGGCTTAGCCCTTGATGGAGGACTCTTTGTTCCTGAGAGAGGACTTCCAAAATTCACTGCTGAAGACTGGCAAGGTCTGATAGAAGCAACTTACGTCGAAAGAGCCCAGGTGATACTAGAAAAATGCATACATCCTGCTGATATTCCTGCTTCTAAGCTAGCAGAAATTATTGAAACTGCTTACGGAGAAAATTTTAGTTGTTCTAAAGTTGCCCCAGTTAGGCATCTGGCAGGCAATCAGTTCCTTCTTGAGTTATTTCATGGGCCAACAGCATCATTTAAAGATTTTGCATTACAGTTGATGCCACATTTATTTGCCTACTGCATTCCCAGAAGCTGCAATTACTTGATTCTGGTAGCTACTTCTGGAGACACAGGGAGTGCTGTTCTAGATGGCTTTAGTCGTCTCCATGACACTGACAAACAGAGAATTGCTCTGGTGAATTTTTTTCCTGAGGATGGAGTAAGCCCAATTCAAAAATCACAAATGATTGGCTGTCAGAAGGAAAATGCTTGGTCAGTGGGTGTCAAATCAGATTTTGATTTTTGCCAGACAGCTATAAAGCAAATCTTTACTAATTCTGATTTTACTGGCTTTCTTACAGTAGAATACGGAACAGCTTTAGCTGCAGCAAATTCCATAAACTGGGCACGACTTCTTCCTCAGATAGTTTATCATGCCTCTGCATACCTTGATCTCGTTCATCAAGGTATTATTTCTTTTGGAAGCCCTGTAGATATTTGCATTCCTACGGGAAACTTTGGCAACATGTTAGCTGCTTTCTATGCTAAAATGATGGGAATTCCTATTAGGAAGTGTATTTGTGCTTCCAATGAAAACAATGTTTTGACTGAATTCATAAGAACAGGTGTTTATGATTTGAGGGGAAGAAGATTAATTTCCAGTTTTTCACCAGCAGTAGATATTTTGAAGTCCTCCAATCTTGAGCGATACTTACACCTGATTGCTAATGAAGATGGACAATTGGTGACACAATTATTTAATCAGCTGGAAAATCAGGGCCACTTCCAGCTGCAGAAAGATCTGCTTGGAAAGCTTCAGCAGGACTTAGTGGCTGGCTGGTGCTCTGCTGAGGACTGCCTGGCTGCCATTCACTCTGTGTACAGTACTACAGGATATATTTTGGATACACACACAGCTGTTGCTAAAGTAGTTGCAGATCGATTACAAGATAGAACTTGCCCAATTATTATTTCATCTACAGCTCATTATTCTAAGTTTGCACCTGCTATCTTGAGGGCCTTGAGGATTGCAGAAATAAATCAGAATCCATTAAGTCAGCTTCACTTGCTGAGTTCTTACAGCGCTCTGCCTCCAATCCACTGGGGCCTATTGGAGACTCTGAAAAAGACAGGAAATGGGGATCACCAGGTCTGTGCTGCTGATATGAGTGTGCTGATGTCCCATATAGAAACCTTAATTCAAAATCATTTTATGAAAGTTTTTTGAGCAACTGATCCAATGTCCACAATTGCAATACCTTGTTAACAAGCTGCATGCTTTACTAAAGTCATCATTCATCTGGCCTGTGTCCAGTCCACAGCATATCTCACAGTTTTATATTCAGTTGTCAAGCTTTCAACAGTATTTGTAAGTAACATGTGTGAGATTTCTAGTGGCAGTGAAAGGTTGTGAATCTAGAGTGTAAAAAACTGGAATACCACTTTGCAAATCATACACAGTAGAGATGCCAGCATTGCTGGCTCTCCTTGGCAGTGCTGTCTCCTTCACAAGCCTGAAGCATCCTCAACGGAAGGAGGCAGATAATGAAGTCTGACCTTTCTGGAACTAATAGCTCTGGTTTTGTTGCAACAATGATGTGAACCTTTGGTCAGTGGATGTTTAATTAAACTTTAACTCATTTCACTTAGGGCACTGAAACATAATAATATAATGGTGTTCATATGCTACTAATGAAGGTTGATTTCACTACAAAATTAAAATATCCTTGTATTGTTAATCCTTGAACCACTGAAGTTTGTGATATATTACCTTCTTGTGTAATGTTTTTTATGTATTGTGTTTCCAGTGTCGAGGTATAAAAATCTGGTAATTTTGTTTTTAATACCTTTAAATATTTTAAATATTTTTTAAATATTTTCCTGTGTCAAATAGAATACCTAATTCAATATTTTTAATATATTTGAGGTGTGGCTCTTCCTCCAGTGTCTTGTAGTCTCTTTCCTAGATGTTTTTTATTTGAACTTTCAACTTTAAAATCCTTTTTTAGTACTATAGAAGAATTTGATAGTGGTAACAGCTGTCTTCTTAAATAAGAAACAGACTTCACCATTTATTTATATTTTTTGTATTATGTTTTATCTTTGAGATCATATAGCTTTTCATGTTGTAATTACTTATGTTTTCATATTTTTCTTAAGTTAATTTCCTTGATGTTCTATTCTATTCAAGCTTTGCATGAATTAATATAAGAAAGAAGCTTCCCAAATTACTTGGCATCTCATCAAGGAAAGTGAAGGATGAATTCCAGTTTGATAGCATCAGAAGTGTTCATTATGTAACCCAAAATACATCTGTGTGGTTTTGCTAATGGCAGGGCTCTTTACTGGGTTTTTTTTCTGAAGAAAAATTAGACTGGATTGTCCTAGGAGATCATGTGGTTATGGACAAATGTATTCTACTAATTGAAGATTATATTTCACAAGTACATAAACTACATTTCATACTATGAGAAATGGTAAAATGATGTATTGAAAGGTTTGAGAGGTAAAGAGCTAAGAGTCTTCAGATGTAAGGACATATAGCTACAGGAAGTTTTGTTTCTCACTAAGATTCAAATAACCTGGTAATTGATAACATTTTTTTGCCTCTTCAGTAGGCAACATTTTCTACATGTCAAGATTCACTTGAGGCTTTGAACTGTTCTGGTATCTGATAGCTTCCTCTGTGTGCCTGCTTGTACTTTTTGCCACACTAGAAGTGAACAAGACACCATCTAGCAAACTATTTTAAAGAATTGTAATTTCTTCCAGTGGAAGGTAAAAGTCCCAAGCATGATGTGCCTTTGCCACAGTGAATATGTATACAGTATCATTAAATGTAGCTGAGAACATGGGTGTGACACAGTAGCTTTCTAGATTCCTCCATTCTTAGATACTTTTTTAGGACCTTTCTAGTTCTTTGCTCAAACCTTATTCACTATTTCTGCAGTAACTTTGAAAAATAACTTTTTGTTTTTATGGAATTGTGAACAGACCAGGTTGGATGTGACCTGAAAACATCATCTGGGCCAACCTTTTGTGAGAAATGGAGCCTACATGAGATTATCTAGCACCCTCTCTGGTTATGTCCTAAAAACTTCCAGCAGTGGAGACCCTTCCACATCCCTGGGGATATTGTTCTAGTGATTGAGTGTTCTCACTGTAAAAATTTCTTTCTTATACCAAAATGAACATTCTCCTGATGCAACCTTCTCCTCTTCCCCCTTCTCATCTCCATATGGCTCCTTGTGAAGAGAGAGCCTCCAATCTCTTCCTAACCACCACTGAAGTATTGGACAGCTGTGCTGAAGTTCCCCCTGAACCTCCTGTAGTATGAAAAGATCTGACTCATTCGATGTCCTCATAGGGCAGGGGACTTTTCATCATTTTCCAAATACAACCGGGGAAAGACCATGATTATATAATTTAAAAAAATCCAAGTCCCATAAGAAAAAGTTACATAAGCATATTTCCAAGAAAGAGGCACTGTTTGTATCAGTGATAAGTCTTGTATTTCTGTATGTTTCAATCTGATTCTTATGATAATTCCAAGTGGAAAAAAAATTAATGCTTTCTCTGGATGAGCTCATTACAAAACCAGAATTCCAAATCTTGAAAATAAAAACCCAAAATGAAACAAACCCAACTGCCTGGATTGAATTACTGGGACAGGGTTTGGTTTCAGCATAAGGACTCAGTGGAAATCCTGCAGTACTTTGTTACATGGGGCTTAATGCCATTTAAATCACAGGGCTGTTTGTCATGAACTCTTAAAATACTTTATAGAAACATCTTCAAAGAAGAACTTGTTTTTGTAGAAAATACCTGAAAGGGAAGAGCTGAGAATCTTAACAAGATAAGACTATAAGCCAACATCCTACCCTGAGATAACTCAGTGTTAGAGAAACTGGTCAGAACTAAACTAGCAGGGGATTTATTTTGGCATGACTAAATTATTTCATAGTTCATGGCAGTAACCCAAGCATGGTTTGAATTTCTGGTTGCTGCTTTCCTATCACATTATAGCAGTCGATATAGGCTAAATAAGTAAAAAAATGAGCACTTGTACTTAGGTAAGGGCTTTCAATGGGGACTTACAGTGTCTAAGAGCAGTGGTTAATGAGCACTTACAATATTAATATATTTCTCAGAATGTCTAAAGGCTTTTACAATATAGTATTTACTAATTTTCAAAAAGAATTAATTTTTGGAATTCCATTAACTTCAGTAAACTATTTTCCTGCACTACATCTCTTGTGGATCCTAGTAATGAACATCATAAAATGCTGCAGTAGTGTCATGATCCTGGATGTACACAGTATTTGTGAGCTGGTGCTAATGCTGTGTTCCGGTAGCTGTGATGTGCAATATTCTGTCCTGCAGGGCCAGTAGCAATGGAAGGGAAAAAGATTTCCAGCATGCTCAGAATAGCTGACTGTGGGTACATAGGATAGTGAGGGAAGCAGTCCTCCTTTCTTCCTAGCCCAGATTTTCTTAGTGTCAGCGATATACTGTTGCTTGGCAAATCTTGTGCTACTGTTATGGTCCTTTTTTTCCCCACTGTCAGTATTATGAAAGATCCAAAAGGCATTAAAGACGGGCATAAGTGCCCTTTTTTTGGTCTTTTTTTTTTGTGCAGACACTGTGCACACTGAATGCTGTCATACATTATTTTCTATTAACTTCTTAAGGCAAAGTAGTGTGCCAATGGTACAGAAAAGCAAATCTATATTGTGCTCATTAGTGAGATTCTTTAAGCCATTTAGGTTTGCTGTATACACAGTTTGCTCCTATTTGTCTAGCAGGATGTTGCACTATAAATCAATAAAATCCAGGGTGACAGAGTGTGAGCATGCAGATCTACACATTTCCACTTGCTTTGTTGACCCAGAGTAATAGCATTGCTTTAGTTAAGCTGTTATTCTTCTGTATAGATAAATCTTTGCTGAACACTTCCTACTATATGAAATACCTCAGGGACAAATTTAACAAATGTAAGAAGAAATACAACATCTATATTTACACTTCTTATTATAAGAATATTTATGTGGAAAATACTTTGTTTTGTTTACAGATGTATCAGGTGCTCATTACTTGCCTTTAGTCACAGCCCTTCTTCTCAGGGAGAAGACATGAGGTAAAGGATGAACAGAACATCAGAAGATAACTCTGTTTTCTTAGTATTTTATGATATAAAAATAATTGCTATTTACACTTTTGAGGTGATGAAGTATTTTATCTGATGGAACTCTACAGGGAAGATTCTTGTTGTTCAAAAGGTCAGCTTTGCTTTCAAGGACATCAAGAACAGATATTGCTAATAATTATATCATGTTTGGCATACCTGAAATACACATTACTCATTTGTATCCACTGTATTTTTTCCTAAATAAATACTGCAGCACTTATATAGCACTATAGCACTTCCTTTGCAAATATGTTTGTAAATCCTTACCAATCTGCTATAAAGAAAATCCACTAAAAAAAGTGGATTCAGAGTTTGATATTCTTAAGTCTTGAAAGATGTGTTCCATTCTGTGTTTCCTTGAAAGTTAGGGGTATTGTTGGTGGTAATCTAGTAATTCACTTTGCTGAGACTAAGATTTTAGTGAGATAATGTGCACCATTCTGGAAGGAAGTATGTATAAAAAAGGAAACACAGATCAAAAATAGCATATGTCTAAACACTGTTTACACTGCACCATAGACTTGTCCAGTGCTGCATGGAAAGCCTGTATTCTGAAGATTAGTATGGAAAAGGAAATCCCTTTCCTTATTCATGTTTAGTTCAGTGGAGAGAAGAGCTAGTTGTCTGTTAGCTGATGTGGAGCAACTTTGGTACACTTCTAATATCATTTCAGGATCATGGGGTTAAAAATTACTTGAATGGTTGAAGCCACAATGAGCAGTTAGTTTCAGTGAATTAATGTGAGTGGGCCATTGATTCTGAACATGTATTAGCAGCTTAAGGAGGATTTAAATGTCACTGTGTTTTTTTCACAGCAGTTACAAAAGTGCTCAGCTTGCTTATCAGACCTGCGAAGCTGTTTCTTCAGATTTTTTCAGAATGTAGAAATCTAAAAGACAACTGTCTTGGTCCTGGTCTCCAACTTAGCTAAAACTTTCAAAGATCTCTCCATGTGGACCAAGATCTAAGCTGTTTGCTCATTTTACTTGAGAAGACTTTATTTCCTGATTAAGTATTTAACATGCTGTCTGGTCTCCTTCTTGGCAGTATAGGAAAATTATTCAGTAGAATTATGATAACACCTGATTTACTTGCTTGTGTATGATATTATAATATTTAACCAAGGGAGCATCCACAGTGTTTTCCTTGCACAACAAAGGAACCAATTTTTCATAAAAAATGTATCTCAAATTTCACAAAATCAGTTACATAGCACAGGAATTATTACTCTAGCTTTTTTTTTTTTATTATTTTTTTTTTAGCTATTTTGTCACTGGTATTTGGAATAGACTTAGATATTCAAATAGTTTCTTTTATTTTAAAGAGTTACTGCTATATAAACATGGAGGGTATCACCCCCAGATAAAATTCATCAAAACAATAATTGAGTCAAACCTGAAAGAACTCAAAATGTAAATTGGAAAGACTGAACAGATTTGTTATGTGAGATCACACAGGATTTGGCTCTTAACCATGAGTTTATTAAGAACATAGGAGGAAATAAAGTAATGACCGTTCAAATCTACAGATGCCACAAAAGTTAAATACGAAGGAGCCACTTAATCAGAGAAAGATTAATTGCTTGGTTAGGAGCTGTAAGAAATTTGTATTTCACTGTGGCCTAAAGTAGACCTGTGTTTTTAGGAGGATAGAGGTTTGAGAACATACTTAGCAAGTTGAACAATTTGTGGCAGGAAATGCTGACTTTGAATGGTGTCTGGAAATGATGTGCATTCTCAACCGAGCATGAAATTTCAGCATGCCTTGTGGCCAAAATAACCAGTGAGATCCTGAGATTAGAAATGGGAATACTGCCAGGGAAGAAATACTGCTGTCTGTATTTGGCTTTGGTGTAACCTTTTGGAAGAATATTATGCCAAATTTCAGTAGTCAAAATTTTCAGTAATGCTCGGAAGCTGGACAGAAAAGTCATGAGAGCAATAAAAGCATTAAAAATAAGCACTGGCATGAGAGACTCCAAAACCAGAATTTGCTTAGTTTAATGAAAGAAGAATCACCTAGATGAACCATCTTCAGAGAAAAATTGATAATAAAGAGCTGTTCCACCTAGCAGAGAAAGAGTGATCCAGCAAGTCTAAGCAGAAGGACATGTTACAAAAAGACATAAAATTACGTAATAGAACAGTAAAGGCATCCCTAGTCTGGGCATATTAGATGATTTCCTGAAAAAATGTGATTTGATAGAAAGAGGACTAATTCAGACAAGCCAGATCCATGTTACAAAAGAGGTCAAACCAACAATCACAAGTCATGTTTGGCTGCTCCAGGAGTAACTTGCCTTTAACAAAAGCATGAACAGCATTTCACAGAGGTTTGAGAGACAGAGATTATGAACTAATTTCAGTTCTGCTGTGGTGTGATCAGTACACAGAGCAAAATAGGCTACTGGATATGTTTAGCCTTGTTCTTTCTGTCTCTAGAGAATTGCAAATGGACTACTAATGCATACCCTGACTTGACTCATGGCTATTAGGATATGGCTCATTAGTTTTAAATTTCATTATACAATACGCCTTGTGTTGGTTTGGGCTATATATACTTTCATTATGAAAATGAGGTGAACAGCACAGGAGGAAAGTGTCTGTGTAAATGCCAGCTTTATTGAATGTAGCTAATTATTATTTATTTTCTCAAGCTTTTAAAAGTTGGAGATCTTTTTAAATTTATTAGATGCTTTTGAGTCCTCTTTTTCTCAGCTTTTGCAAGCAGCTTGTAATCCAATGGCCATTTTCAATTAATTTTCAGCTCATAATAAGATTTATGACAAGTGGAACAATCCAATGATTCCTTTTTATAGTTAAACTTGAACTTTTATATTCCAATTAAAGCTTAGAGAAGGTAAAATGTGCTCATAGGTTCTGCTCTCGCAACATATTTTGATTTAAATGTATTTTTTCATTACATTTTAGACTAATTCACTAAATTATATCTAAATAGAGCAGACATTTAGTGGACTTGTTTTCTAAGTATCTGTGGTAATCTGATTCTGTTTAAAATGCTAATAAATGCATCCCATCTCCTAATTAAACCAGTGCTCCCTGCATAATTAATTAGCATTTTATACAGATGAGACATATTCACGGTATTTTTCTATCAGAAAGGTTAATAAAAGAATTCGATGCAGTTTTGAAACACCGCAAGAGCGGCTGATTTCTGTAAAACCAGTTTTTTACAAGTAAAAATGTTAGTGGAATTTACCTGGAATCGTTGTTCCATACAGCTTTTCTCCACAAGGTGGCATTCCTAACAGGAATTTGATAGACACGGTCACTTCTTGCACTTTTTGAAGAGCTCTAAGTGAGAGGCAGTCCTAAGCATTTGTAATATTTTATAGGCTTTTTATGTTTGCATTTTTATAAAGTGTTATTAAGAGTAATTTAAGAAAACTTAATGATAATTAGGTTAATACTCATTGATGTGTGGAGTAT